CTGTTCCTGGCTGTTGTGGGCATCTGGGGTGTGAACCAGCAAATGGAAGATCTCTCTCTCTCTCTCCCCCCCGCCCCCTTTCAACTGAAATGAAAACAACAGCCGAAGTGTGTAACCATCCCACAGCAATGCTGGGGACTGGAGATTCGCTCTGCAGGTAGCGCCCTCTGCTGGCCTGGAGCCCCATTTCCTTACTTGGGCCTCAGCTTCTATGCAGGAGATGAACCTGGCTGTTGGGAGCATTTGGGGTGTCAGTGCCTGCAGTTTCACTGACACTTTGGGGCGATCATAGTCACTGTTGGGAGGAAGCATTCCCAGTCATCCGCCAGAACTGTCATGGGGGAAGTGGGGACAGGCGGGCTGTGGGGAGCAACCCGGACTAGACTGAGTTACTGGAATTAAGACTTATTCTATGCATCTGCTCTCCCACAATATGGCGCTGGGAGAGAAGTAAACAGCTTCTGCACAGCTGCCTCCAGTTCAACCAATAAACTGTAGGACTTGCTACTGATTGGAGGAGAGCAGCGTACTCGGCGTGTGGGCAGCCGAGTTAGGATTGGCGGAGGAGGACTATAAAGGAGGAGAGAGACGGCATGCACCAGGAACATCTATGGGGAACATCTAAGGGAACCCGTGCAGCCCCCGAGAAAAGCCGGCCGGCGGTGTGCCGCTCCCCTGCGGAAGTGGGGAATGCGGCCAGGGGGAACTGCCCTTCCACGGAGGTGGAAGGGATAGTAGCCAACCCGGGAAGAACCAGCAGCAAACCCGGGGAGGGCCGAGCAGACGAAAGAACAGCGCAGGGTCCTGTGTCGTTCCTCCACGAAGAGGGGCAGCGACATAATGGTGCCGTGACTCGGATAGGAAACCCAGGACGGATAGGAAACCTAGAACGGATAGGAAACTTAGGAGGGAAGAAACGGGAAGAACTGGGAAAATATCGGAGAGAGAGACTAGCAAACAGCCTAGGGAAAAGCCGGACGAAAAGGGTGCCGGAAGAAGCTATTGAAAGCCTAGGCATAGACTCGGATACGGACTACGGGGGGGAAGCTGGGAGAAATCTCTAAGGTCGAAAGCGAAAGTGAAAGCTAGAACAAACAGACTCGGATGCGGACTGTGGGGAGAGGCCAGGAGAAATGAGGGAGGAATATTGTTGGAAGAAAACTTAGGGAAACATACCGGGTAGAGAAAAGTGTTAGGGAAATTGAAGCCGCGGGGGGCCGGCCGAGGCGGACACGAAAGCCACTTTGGGGTTCTCAAGTTAGCCCGGGAATGGGGGGCGAAAAGTTGAAACCAGAAGCTGAAACGTAAGCCAGATTGGGATCCGTCTGATTAGCCCGGGGAGCAAAGGACGGGAAGCCAAATCGTGGGGCGGAGACGTATGCTGGGTTGAATTCGCCAGGCTAGCCCGGGGAACTTAGATTGAATGCTAGTGGCGGACACGTAAGCTACGCTGTGTTACTCGCGGAAGCCGCCGCGTGCAGAGAGAGCACGGGGCGTGAATAGATAGGGAATGGGGCTGGCGTGAGGCCGTGGTGCAGATGCGAAGGGCGTGGAGACCGCGGAGCGCGCGAAGCCAAGCCGCGCAAAGCCGGGAAGCCGCGCAGATGAGAGAGGCGCGGGCTGAAGCGGCTCAGAGCCGGGAAGCAGCCTCGGGGCGGGTGCCGAGAAGCAGCCTCGGGGCGGGCACCGGAAAGCCGCAGGGATAAGAGAAACAAAAGTTTAGAAGTAAAATGAGAGAAATGGGAATGTTGGCAGACAGAAGTAAAATGGGAGAAATAGGAATGCCCGGAGATAGAGAAATAGAGAAATAGAAAGGCCTCCCTACAACACTGCAATGTGAGAGCTTGGATTCGGTCTGCCTGATTAAGTGAGGCGATGAGCACCTGGGCGGCTAGCAGCTTATGCGCCGCAGGTCACCGAAGACAGGCACGAATTAACATCAGTAAGGCTTCCCCATGATACAACAATTAGGAGGCTTGGATTCGGTCTGCCTGATTTAAGGCGGTAAGCGCCAGCAGGCGGCTCGACCAGGGTATGAGCCGCAGGTCACCGAACACAGGCACGCATCAGCGCCTAAAAACCTCCTCATAACATGGCGAAGAGAGGACCCGGATTCGGTTTGCCTGATAGGACTTGTAAGAGCCTGTGGCAACTCTAGCAAGTAGAGCAGAGTGTGTGCCGCGGGACACTGAAGACAGGCGCGTATCAACGCCAAAAATAAAAAGAAAGGGGGATCTGTGGGGAGCAACCCGGACTAGACTGAGTTACTGGAATTAAGACTTATTCTATGCATCTGCTCTCCCACAATATGGCGCTGGGAGAGAAGTAAACAGCTTCTGCACAGCTGCCTCCAGTTCAACCAATAAACTGTAGGACTTGCTACTGATTGGAGGAGAGCAGCGTACTCGGCATGTGGGCAGCCGAGTTAGGATTGGCGGAGGAGGACTATAAAGGAGGAGAGAGACGGCATGCACCAGGAACATCTATGGGGAACATCTAAGGGAACCCGTGCAGCCCCCGAGAAAAGCCGGCCGGCGGTGTGCCGCTCCCCTGCGGAAGTGGGGAATGCGGCCAGGGGGAACTGCCCTTCCACGGAGGTGGAAGGGATAGTAGCCAACCCGGGAAGAACCAGCAGCAAACCCGGGGAGGGCCGAGCAGACAGAAAGAACAGCGCAGGGTCCTGTGTCGTTCCTCCACGAAGAGGAGGAGCGACAGCGGGCACCGTGTCACACATCTTCTGTTCCTCAGCTTGTCCCCTGGGGGACTCCCGTGACCATTTATGTGGCACCGTGTTCCTCAGCTTGTTCCCTCTATAGATGTTCACTGACACGCACAGTTCTCCCTCTGTATTATTTTGTTTCCTCTTCATAGACACCCTGGGAGGCAGCTGTTATTATCAGCACTCCCATTTAGCATAGTTACTATTATGTTATTATTATGTTAATGGGAGTGTTATTATCAACACTCCCATTTAGCATAGGCCTTAGCCAGGGTCTTGCCCACGGTCACAGTCGCGGTGAAACAGGGCTCAGGCTGGAGCCCGGGCTGCCCCTACCCCTGACCATCTGTACTCTAACCTCCGTCGATACTGCCCATGCAATCTTGAACCTTCCTGTGGTCCAGCCCCATCGGATGCTGTCCCCTCCATGTGCCAGCTTTTTGTACCTCACTCAGTTTCCTCGTCTATAAAATGGGTACAGGCATTGAAATGAGTTGTTTTCTGCATCCAAGGACAGCACATGTTGTGCCTGTTTTCTGCTGTGGGTGGAGGGGAGAATATAAATAACTGCTCTCTCGGTGGAGGGTAGCCAAGTTAACGCGGCCAGCAGGGCCAGCCTGGGACACTGGGATCTTGCTGACCAGGGGTGTTTTGGGATCCAGCGTGGGTGGGAAGGGCTCCTTCACGGTCTTGGCCCCGGGAGTCAGCGGTTTAATAAAACAAGGAGGCGGCGACTGGCGCATACCTGTGTCCCATCTGCCGTGTCCATTGGGGCTGTACAGTGAGGTCTGGGGCCGAGGGTGTGGCGCCACAGCAGGGGCAGAGCCAGGCCGGTGGAGAAGCATCTTAGCTGTGGGCAGAGGCCGGTCGGTGCCTGCGCCAACAGCAGGTTCCCTGCAGCGTTTCCCCCTTGTGCAGGGGTCTGAGGGGCTCTCCAGAACCTTCCTCGGGGGCCAGGGACCACCACGTCCTTGGGGTTTCTTTGAGCAGGGCGCTCGCATGTGTGCACTGTCTATCCGCGTAGCCGGGGCCGGGGAACGTAGTTCCGCAGCCTCCCCAGGGTGTGCTGGCTGCTCTGTGGGCTGCTTTTGCCCTTGGTAGTTGGGTGGGTTTCCCCGTGAGAAAGCGTGATTGGCACCTCTGGAAGCAGATGCCGGGCCCTTGGCGCTGGCAGGTGTGGAGAGGAAAACGGTGAACCCGACTCCGTGTTGGTCATGTCTGGTCCCTGCTTCCTGTCGAAGTTCTCTTGGAGATGCTACAAGCTGCTGTTGGCGAGCCAGTCTGCTGGCGGAGGTGTGGTTGGCTCCCGGTCTGCCCTCCCTGTGCTGGGAGGGTGGCTGCCCCCTCTGTTGGTGGATGCGCTGCTGGGGAGGGCCCCCAGAGGAAGAGGGCCCTGGCTGGGCTGCCCACGGCCCAGCAGTGCTGCCAGTCGGTACAAGGCAGAGGCCTTGGCCAGGGCACCCGCACGTGTGCTCTGAACTCCTTTCCCTTGTGTACCTTTGAATTTTCACCTTGCTACACTAAGTATAAAATGCTGTTTACATTAAATTAAAGGGAAAAAAGTTAAACAACAACTTTAAGATGGAAAATGGGGCCATGCTTTCAGAATAGCTCCAAGTCTTACCTATGGTGCGATCTACACCCTGACACCATCCTAGACTCTAGGAGTCTAGGACACCATCCTAGGCTCTAGCCCCAGCCGCCCTGGGAGGTGGCATCTCCCACCTCCCTCGGGGCAGCAGGCAGCTGGGGCCTGAGACCTGCATGATGCAGGCCGAATGCATTCCCCACCACCACCACCACTTCTTCCTTCCTGGGTACTGGAGAAAACAGTTTCCTCCGTCCCTTGAGGACCAAGTACCTAACGTGCATTTAATTTGTGTTCTCCCTATTTCCTGTTTCTGGGCACTTAACAATAGCAGGTCTCAGAGGGTTACATTTCTTACTAAAAAACAAGATACAAAACAACAACCCTGACGGGTGACACGTGATAGGGGATGAAAAGATGTAGAAATGTTGTGCCAGTTCATTAGCTCTGTCACTGTAAGCTCTATCATTCAATCGTAAGAAAATCTGAAAGACACGTACGTCAGTTATGCAAGAAGTTTGTCCCCCTAAAAAGAACAGAACACCTTTTTGACTTCATCTTCCGACACAGAGGGTTTGTTACCAACGTTGGACGGCTGAGCGTGGCGAGACAGTGAAAGGCGCGGTTTGGCCCACGTGGATGCAGACGGGCCCGGGCCAGCGAGTGAGCCCGTCTTCCGGCTTTATCTTGCAGTGTTTCGCTGTGCGCTCGCTGGGGTGGGTGGAGATGGCAGAGGAGGACCTCGCGCCCGGGAAGAGCAGCGTTGCCGTCAACAACTGCATCAGACAGCTCTCCTACTGCAAAAACGACATCCGCGACACGGTCGGCATCTGGGGCGAGGTGAGTCGCGTGACAACCTCCCAGTGGGCGGGCAGGTGCCCACGCCCTCCCATGGCACCGCCTGTCGACCTTAGAACGGGGCTGAACTCCACTGACAGCCGGACATTCCGATCCCAGGCAGGGGGAGAGAGAGGAGGAAGAGTGTTCTCCTGTCCAAGCGAAGCCCTGTATCCCTCCGCTGTTGGGCTTTACCGTCTTACCGCATGGCCTCCCACCCCGCACCTGCCACCCGGACTCACCCAGGCCCAGCTTCCCCACCGAGTCACCCACGTGTCTTCTCGTTCCTTCAGTCGAAATGCTCTTGCTCCCAAAGCACAGTTCTCAGTCAGGACCGAGAAGCAAGGTCGCTGTAGTTTATACTAGCACGTGAATGACTGACATTTGGAGGGACCTCTGGTTGGAGGCACCACACAGCCTGTTGCGCTTGGCTCTGTGGAGTCTGGAGCCTTGACACAGTCTACACAAGCTGTGTTTGTGGCTGGCGCTGTCCTCTGTAGATGGCTTGGCCACCCTTTGGGGGAGAGTTGAGAGCACGCTGGATCTCAGCTACAGCCAGCGGCCAGGGCTGCACCTGCTCTGAGAACCTGTGTTGGGAATCTTTATCACCTCTCTCCAAAACCACCCCAAAGAGCCCTTCATCGGGCTCACTTTGGGATTTGAAGACCCACAAGAATTCTTCCCGTCCTGCGCCGCTGGACCTCCCAGCTTCAGTGCTGTGGTCTCATGGCTGCCCGGCAGAGGTGTGAGAATTTCTCAGAACTGCGCCTGTGGGGTTGCCAGGAGGCGGGACGAAGGCCGGTCCGGGAAGGCCTGGGTGGGTGCGTGGTGGGCCCGGCCGGAGGGAAGGGCAGAGAGCGGCTGTAGGCATCTGACAGGCGTGGAATTAGTGAAGCGGCCGGTTCTCCCAGCGCGTCCCGTGATTCTTTGCTCTTCAAGAGTCGCAAGTGTAAATCATTGGAACTGGGAGCCGACTGAAAGGCAGCCAGGGGCATCCGTTAAAGGGCCAGTAGACAGACACTGGGACTGGGAAAGAGGTTTTTCTCTTAAGAAAACGAGTGGCAGGCCCGAGGGGTGGCTGCTTTTGGTGGTTGCACAGCGCCCCTGGATGGCCAGACACGCATGCGCGCGCGTTGTGGAGCCAGGGTGCGCGTGCCAGACGGCGTGTTTCTCGTTGTGTGCAGGGGAAGGACATGTACCTGATCCTGGAGAACGACACACTCAGCCTCGTGGACCCCATGGACCGCACGGTGCTGCACTCCCAGCCCATCGTGAGCATCCGCGTGTGGGGCGTGGGCCGCGACAATGGCCGGTGAGTCCCTGGGCCGCGGCCGGCGGCCACTCATAGCTTAACTCCTCAGTGTGCTGTCCCGGCACCTCCCCGGGCACGGCACCGGACGGAGCCTCGCGGGGACAAGCAGAAAGCATCGCCTGGCTTGTCTCTCTGCCTTGCCAGCCCTCCCAGCCGCTGCACTTCCGGCTCCTCCACCCCACCCGCACCCTGCTCTCCTACGTCTTTCTCCCCTGCCCGCCCTCATTCGGCCAAGCCGCTAACCGTCCCACAAGTCCAGACTTCTTATTTTCTCTTCTCGCAGCCTTCTAACAAATTCCTTTCCATGGCATTCGGTGGAGTCTCTGCCTTCTCGCACCCCCTCCTGCCGGGGTGTCCCTCCCCCCCCCCCCCCCCCCCCGCCCCGCCGCCGCGGGCTTGCCTGCTCTTGGTGCCGTCAGTAAGCGCAAACCCTGGGTCACGAAACGATGGTGACCAGGAATTTCCGGCGTCTGGGCTCACCAAATGTTTTTCAAACTCTGGAGATGGCTGGTCGTATCGCGACACCATTCAAGTGTGTTTCCGTGTCATGTGCAAGCACGCGTGTGAGGAGCTTCCTGGATGTGCTGTGAATTTCTGTGGTCCACGCTGAGCGCGAAGGAGGACGTTCTGATTCTCAGGTGCATCTCCCAGCTAGCAAAGCGACAGCGACCCCACGCAGCCTGTTGGGAGACCATCCTTGAGTGCCTGGGCTCTGTTAAATGCGGTGAACCTTTAAGTTAGCAAGCAACCATAGCCTTTCTGCAGGTGCAGGAGGCGGAGCTGTGGGATGAGGAGTTACGGCTCTGCTGAAGATGCAGAGAGAGCCCACACAGCTGAGCTGTGGCTCTTGTGGGCTTGTGCTTCCCGTCCTGGGCAGGCAGGGGTTGTCTTGGCTCCCTGGCCCTCTGGGAGGAGGGTCTGTCTTTGCTTATCTCAGCCTTTCTCTCCCGAGGCTGGGCGTGGGCACATTTGCTTGTCTTCTGATTCAGCCCCAAGTCCTAAACCAGAAAGGAGGGGTATGGCTGAGTCGTCATCAAAGAACGCATGTGTGCTGGAACCGGATGTGAGAGATGGTTTGCAAAGGAGAGAGCTGAAGTAGCCGGTGCTAGCGGATTGGTTAAACCTCCTTGGGAGCACAGTGTGACTGTGAGCGTCCTGCGCACTGATGCGAGGTGACAGCTGGGCCGTGCTTGTGGGGGGAAGGAGTGCACAGATTATGCACGCAGACCTGCGGTTCCGTGGCTCGGCAGCTGCCTTGCTGTGGACCGATCGATTTTATAAGGAAGAATCTGGTGATGTTTGGTCGTTACTAGAGATGTTTAGCCTTGGTCAGAGATCCTGGGTGTAAGATGCTTAATTCTGTCCTGGCCGCTGTCCACCACATTTGTTTTCAAGGCAGGAGCCAAAGTGGCAGTCAGTACACACACCTTGGTGAGCTTGTATGTTCTTACTGTGCATATGTGTACATACATGTTGAAGGGCTTGTGTGTGCTCAAGGTACACACATGGGCACACCTTGGTGGGCTTGTGTGTGCACACACGTGTATACTTTGAGGGCATCTAGCCCACTCCAGCTCTTTAAAATGAAGCCAAACCCTGCACAGCTGGGATGGGGGACTGATTGAGACTCCAGTAGATGAAATTATTCAGACTCCAAGGCTTCGGGGACAGTGTGCGTGCCTGGGGTATGCCGGAGGAGGGGCTGCTGCAGACTCTAAGGCTGGTTGTCCTGCCCCTAGAGATATCAGCATGTATTAGGTTACATTGCCTTGGTTACACTTTTACAATTCGGGCCTGATTATTCGTGTTTGGAATCACTTCTTCTGCTTGCCCAGTGTTAGCAGCTAAGTGTCATTTAGAAACACACCCAGGGTTCACACAGGTGTCCCGGCCCGCGGCCACCCCACTCTGGGAACCAGCAGTAACTAAAGAAGTGAGTTTGCCAGTGCGAGGTTCTGCTTCTTGCCGTTAGGCCCCCGAGCTTTCCGTCTGTACAAGAAGGGGCCTTTGTATTCCTGCCTGCCTATTTTTTGAATGTTCCTTTCCTTTTGATTCTTTTTTTTTTTCTTTTGTAACAGCAATTTACTAGAGCAAATGCAATTTGTACGGCTGCAGAGGAAAGGGGTCCCCACTTTGCATGAATAAAACATGAAAGTGTTTCATTGTGCTTGGGAGAACGAGCCCATTCGCCATGCCCTTTTCTCGCTGAAAGAACAGAGTCTCTTCAGGGGTTTCTTGGTTGGTTAAATGAGCGAGCAGAGTATGGATGCCAGGCTCGAAAGGCACAAACCCCTCCTAAAACCCAGAGTGCCCACGCAACTGCCAAATTTATAAGAGTGTTTGGGGTTTAGCGTTATCTCAGGGCCTTCCAGTGTTTTGGATTTGCTTTGGAGAAATTCCTAGTGGGTGAAGTTCACTTGGAGTGAAGGATGTCCCCCCACTGAGCCCCAAGGTAGAGTGGGGAAGGCTCTTGTTATGCACCGTGCAGAGAGCTGCAGGTGCAGGTCCTCTGTGGGGCTGGGCCCCTGTAGGCCTGGGCTGGAGTTTTGTCTCCTCCTTGGGAATCACATGATCTGTCTGCTCCACTGCTGGGCACAGTGGGGCCTCCTGCCTTCCCTTGGCCCTGTTGGTTCCTGTTGGTCACAGTGAGTTCAATGCTAAGACTCCTAGAGATAGAGACTGGTGACAGGGGTTTCCTGGCCCTTGACCTTCCAATCAAATGCAGCCCCACGGTTGGGTCAGGTTGAAGCCAGGAGTCAGGAAACCCATCCTGGGTCTCTCACATGGGTACAAGGGCCCAGGCACTGGGTCATCTTCTGTTGCTTTCCCAGGCACATTAGCAGGGAACTGGATTGGAAGTGGAGTAGCCAGGACTCAAACTGGCACTCCTAGGGGATGCCAGTGTTGCACATGGGGACTTAACCCGCTGTACCACAACACCAGCCCCCAGACTTACTTTCTAAACATGGGAAAGTCTTAACAGGGACTGCCCTCTTCCCTTGCAGCAGATGGGGGTCCATCTGCTGGGGAGGGGACCGCGATCTTTGTGTCCCTTGGCCAGCAGATAGTAGAGTCCTCTCCCTGGGTGGGAAGTGGGTGCATGGGTTTGGTAGAGTGCCTCAAACCCTGTGAACAGGCCTGCCTGGGAGGCTCCTGTGTCGACCCACCATACAGGGTCACCCAGGTGAGCTGGTTGCAGACTCTGTGAGGGACAGCAGTGGGGGCTCTATGTGCTCAGGACCACCCTACCCTCTGTAGGCTTCTCTGCAGGGAGCCCTGCAACCTGCAAGAGGTCACATCCCAGGCTGGACCATCCTCTGTCCTTCATGGAAACGCGCACCCAGGGAGCCCACTTTGGGAAATGCTACTCTGGCTCACCAGCTCATTAATTCAGATTAGTGGCAACACCAAAGTGCTGTGTTGTTGATTAAGAAAAATGTGACTTGCTTTGGATAAATAAGCGTATTATAAACAGAGACCCCATCGGGTCTGCTCCAGTGAAGATAAAATTCCTTTATAATTAACATCAGCCATCAACAGCTGCTATGCACAAGTGCTTTTTTTTTCTCTCTCTCTCTTTTTTTTTTTTTTAAGATTTATTTATTCAAAAGGCAGAGTGAGAGAAAGAGAATCAGAGTTTTCCACCTGCTGGTTTACTCCCCAAATGGCTACAACAGCCACGATGAAGCCAGGAGCCTAGAACTCCATCTGGGTCTCCCACGTAGATGGCAAGGGCCTAAGTACTCGGCCCATCATCTGCTGCCTTCCAGGTACATTAACAGAAAGCTGGATTGGAAGTAGAGCTGCTGGGACTCACAGGTGGCGGCTTAACCCACTGTGCCACAGTGCCCACCTGTAAAGATCACTTTCTTATTTGGGTTAAATGTTTACCCTGTGATGTTGTTTATGCTTATGGTGTATATAGCAAATCAGCTCCTCCTAGAAGGTGTTTTATCAATCTCTTTTCTGTTTTTTTTAATTTATTTTTCTCTTACTTTAAAGGCAGGGAAAAAGATAGAGATCTTTTATCCACTGGTTCATCCCCCAAGTACAGGAGGCAGTTGCCAGTCCCCCTGGCAACAGACAGCCCAAAACCAGGAGCCCAGATCTCAATTCGGGCCTCATACATGAGTGGCAGGACCCCAAATACTTGAGCCATCATCTGTTGCCTCCCAGGGTGTGTGTTAGCAGGAAGCTGGAATCAGAATCTGAAGCAGAGCCTGGATTCAAACCCAGGCACTCTGATGTGGGACGCGGGGGTGCCAAGCTGTGTCTTACTCGCTGCACCAAGCGCCCGTCTTCTCTGGTTCTGAAGAACGTTTTTCCTTAGATCCTTCTGCATAGTTAGGCATACATTTCCAAACAGGGGATCTCTGCATGCGTTGTTTCCTCTGGGTCTGCCCCCAGGGACTCTGATTAAAGGGTGCAGTCGGTGTGCCTTGCATTGCATGTGTTCCTTGTGTTCCCTTCTCCTAGGCTGTGATGTTCCCAGCTGGCCTTTGCCACTGAGACCGTGGCTCAGGTCGTCTGCACAGGCTTCTGCCCCACGTGGCTCTTGCTCTTTCCTCCCTACCAGTGCTGTTTTCTTTGGAAAACACTGCTTCATTTGAGGGTAGAGGGTGAGAGTGCTGAGTTACATTGGGGCTAATTATTTAAAATATGCAACATGTGTAAAAGGTGATTTGGTACCCAGTGCCGTTCGGTCTCTGTGAAGGGATAAGGTGGCTAAGGACGCTGGAGTGAGCTTTGCTTTGGATGAGCCGTCTCGTTTGTGGCAAACGAAGAATCATCTTCAAGGTGGTTTCATGTGTCTGGACAGGGAGCCACTGTTGTCCCTGACGAGAGATGACAGGTGGCCTGAATGACCTGGGCCCGGCAGGGTGGACATGCGTCGATCTCAAGGGCTGAGCGTGTGCTACACGGCAGCAGGGAGCCAGGAGACGGCGATGGCCTAGCACTCTGCCTTGAGAACCTGGCTTCTCCATTAAGGAAATCAGACA